AGTGCAGCAACACCGCCGCGGCCGCCTCAGCCTCGCCGTCGTGCTCGCCGAGGTGCGCCAACGCATCACCGCCCGTCTCCTCGCGCTTGCCGAGGAGGTCGTCGACGCCGCCGCGCTCAACATGCTCGTGGGGGCACAACGAGTGGAAAAAATTGCCCCCTCCCCCAGGCCAAAAAATTCGCCGGCAGCCCCCAAGCGGCGAAAAATATGCCTCCGCGGGGGGGGGGGAGGGCAAACGGCTGGAGATGCTCTAAGGTAGGAGAGGAGGTCTCAACCTTTGGCTCGTGGGATTCGTTGGCGGGGCACATGCTATTTAGAAGACGGATAGTCGCAGTTGAGTGCGTCGTTGATGAAGCCGACGTTAGTACTACAGGGCCGCGCTTGGGGTTGTCATGGCCGGCGTGGTCGGGGGCAGGGTGACACACACAATCCACTTCCATTCAGAATCGCTCGTGCTTGCCATAAAGATGTCATGCAGCGCCTTCATCCTCGGGCACTCTTCAATCATGGCTCCCATCAAAGTCATGGTGATTGTGGGAGAAAAATCAGTGAGGAAATTTGGAGGATCTAAGACTTTGAATACCAAATGATCGCTCGTTATCTCTGATTTATTTTTTTCATAATTTTATTTATATTCCCAAATATCATAAAATAAAATATTTATATTTTAAATGCTTATTCGGTGTTTAGAAACAGTTTATGCAGTACTTAAAAAAAAGTTCATGCATTTTTTTAAAATGTTATTGGCTCTAAACAAAATGTATGTTAAAATATTCACAAGTTCCCAAAAAAACATGAAATTTTAATAAAATATTACGTACCATTGAAAAAATTATAAATATGTGCAGACGTTTCAAAAAATATCTTCATGAAATTTTTTAAATATATATGCAATGTAGAAAAACATTCTTGTAGTCTAAAAAAGGTTTGATGGCACTAAAAAATCAATGTGCATTTGAAAAATGTTTAACATGTATTAAAAGAACATTTGAACATATGTATTTTAACAAATGTACATCAATTATTCAAAATATGTTCAACGTGTATCAAAAGCATGTATACGAAAAATGCAGAATATGTATTGAAAAAGTACGCACGTGTTGATTAAAAGATTAAAAAAACCGATGAAGAAACATGAAAAACGGGGAAAGCCGGTGAAAGAACTACAGAACCACCGCTGAAACAAGCATGAAGAAAACACGCAAAAAAAAGTTCAAAGCAATCACAGGAACAAACAGGAATAAATAACTGCGTGAAAAAAATTGGTCAAAATTAACTACCACAGAAACAAACATGAAAAAAACCACACAGAAAACATGAAATTTTAATAAAATATTACGTACCATTGAAAAAATTATAAATATGTGCAGACGTTTCAAAAAATATCTTCATGAATTTTTTTTAAATATATATGCAATGTAGAAAAACATTCTCGTAGTCTAAAAAAGGTTTGATGGCACTAAAAAATCAATGTGCATTTGAAAAATGTTTAACATGTATTAAAAGAACATTTGAACATATGTATTTTAACAAACATACATCAATTATTCAAAATATGTTCAACGTGTATCAAAAGCATGTATACGAAAAATGCAGAATGTTTATACGAAAAAGTACGCACGTGTTGATTAAAAGAATAAAAAACCCGATGATGAAACATGAAAAACGGGGAAAGCCGGTGAAAGAAATACAGAACCACCGCTGAAACAAGCATGAAGAAAACACGCAACAAAAGTTCAAAGCAATCACAAGAACAAACAGGAATAAATAACCGCGTGAAAAAAATTGGTCAAAATTAACTACCACAGAAACAAACATGAAAAAAACCACGCGGAAAACCGATGAAAAATCTTTCTTTCTTTTTTGAGGGAAATCAAAAATCTTTCCTAAAAACTGCTCCCCCGGACACCTATTGGACAGGCCCATCAGTGCTCCTCTCATTCATGGGCTGGATAGTGCCTGAGGGCCCAGCGAGGCCCACCCAGGTCGCTGGCACTAAAGAAGATCAGGCCTCGTACTATTACGTGTTCCAGGTGTTACGTGAGTACGACTCGGAACACGTACGTGTAAAGATCGAGCAAGAGTTGTCCCGATCGACGGCGTAGGCCTTCTCCGCCTTCCACTCTGATCTGGTAGGGTTCGTTGCTAATCCACCGGGGCCGCGTCGGATACGGCTCCTACCTCGACTCAGATATCGATCCAGCCGCTACAAATATATATATATCCCCGCACCACCTAGGCCACCAACCACCAAAGCAAACATAAGACGAAATTGAGCGGAAGCTGCGGAACCATGAGCCATCAGATCGATCTGGAGACGAGCGCCCGCACCATGGCCGCCGGCGACGACGACGACTGGGTGTACATCGACGGTGACCAAGAGACGAAGTCTTCACCGGCGCCGGCGCCGGCTGTCGTATGTGCCTCCGATAGCCTCGACGAGTCGGAGCATTGCGCACTCGACTTGAAGCTACTTGCCGATCTCGACTACCTCACTAGGAAAAAGGATTCCCGGATCAGTATGGATGTCCACGGTGCTGCGACGGAGGTGGTGGCTACCGCGGACGCTGTCGGTGACGGCGCCGTGGATGACGCCGATGCCGTGGAAGACGAAGACGACTGCTCTGACAACTCCAACGGAGGCCGCCTCGGTCAAGTCGACGACAAGTCCGAGCGGCGTGAGGATGGGACGTCCGACCTGAGGCTGAAGGGACTGCTCGACAACATCAAGACCATTGAAAGGAAGCTGCTCGACTGCCATTTGGAACTGCTGGACTACTGCCGAAAGACCATCCAAGACCACCAGAAAGTCACCCCCTTGCCGGCACCGGCGCCGTCAGCGCACGGTTACAACGCTCCTCACTCAGCCGATGCCTCGTCGTACAGTACATATGATGGTAAAAGCTCTGGCTACGGCTACCTCAGCTACGGCGGCGGAGGTTATGACGGCGGCCTCTCAGACTATGACTACGACGGCGGACGTGGAGGTTACTACCGCGGCATCTCGGGCTATGACTACGGCGACCTAGGTTACTACTACAACCTCTTAGGCTATGACTACGCCATGGGCAGCGGAGGAGGTTACGGCATGAGCGGTGGAGGAGGTTATGGCATGGGCCTCGGAGGAGGTTACGGCCTGAGCAGCGGAGGAGGTTACGGCATCGGCTCTGGCTATCGCTACGGTGGCGGCAGAGGCTACGGCAGCATCTCGGACTATGGATATCCCTACGGCCGCGCCGGAGGTCATTACTCTGACTTTGACTACGGCGGCCTTGGAGATCTTTACTACGGCAGCTCTAGCAATAGCTACGGTTACCGTCCTGAAGACTATGGCCACGGGTACCGCGTCGGCACGTACCCGGCGCAGCCTGCGGCTTGCGATCCCTCGTACCCGGCGCAGCCTGCTGGGAGCCAGTACGGCTACATGGACCTGCCGCGCGTGTCCTCCGTCGTCACCGATGCCCAGGGCACCGGCGGCGGGGCTTGAACCGCTGCCCTAGATCATGGATAGGTTAATCAATCAGGTTTTGTTCATCGTTCATCGCATAGGGGTGTGGTGCTTGGTATCGTTTCATCGCAGTAGAGTAATGGTAGTTGGCAATTGCTGTTTGGATCTATATATTGTTACATAGTAGTACTATTTTATCTTGTCGGAAAGAATTAAACTATTAGTTATATTAAGTGTATTGCTGAACTCTTGAACTTGTTTGCTATTTCTCCGTTGCTGTGAAATCCTATGTGACAGTTTGATACTTCGTTCTTGCACGTATAGCACTTACCTCCTCCGTTTAACAATTAGTCTAGACAATATATACATCCATTTAAATATCAACTAATTCAAGATGGAGGGAGTAATATATAACCAGTCCCAACTAATAGAAGACTAGCATAGCCTAAGTGCGCGCCGCCCATTGCCCATAGAAGCGCCCATAATTAAATTAGATGTTGGCAATATTGTCGAAAAGATGAAGGATTTATATAAAGGTAATGGTGGCTGCGCCCCTGTGGATTTTTGTTACACGAAGAAACTAGTGTTGTTATTGTAGAAAATAAAGTTAGCCAAATCTCAACGGCTGGCTTCATAACGTCCCACCAGCATGAGGAGCACCCAACAGGCTAGAACCAAAATCAAAAAACAGAACGTTGGCAGGCCACATCAACAGCCCCCAAGCTAGCAACCCTCGCTCAGGCGCAAAACAGAACATGAACCCTCCTCGGTTTGCCGTGATAGAGTTAGTTTCAAGAGCCGCGCAGATTTCTTCAGGCGACTGGCGATGCCAGGTCCCCCTTCCTGAATTTTCTCAGAGCTTGACGCAGCTTCGCGGCTCCGGGGCGCAGCCTGGAGAATCTCAGCTCCATTCACCAACGCCTGTTTGTCCTCCGGCGAATGAAGACCTTCCGGCTATTTCAGGAACACACAGGCCGTATAACAAACATTCCAGTTCAGCAGGGGAACAAGTCCCCTTCTCTTTGAAACGAGCATTATTTCTAATTTTCAGAAGAGCCAAGCACACAGCTGCACTCCAGTAAGGATATATGACAGAATTTTGTCGGAAATCTATAACCAACGATGTGATAATGAAAGTACCAGAATGTGAAGCATAAAATGGATTTAAAAAAGAGTATGAGAACAGTTACATGGTATCCTTTCCGGAAAAGTTCAGTCTTGCCATGGAACTTCATAAATTAAAGAACGTAACATCTAATGCAAACATGAGATTAAGCAGCCTAACTATCGAAGCTACTAGCAGCTAACTGCAGATGAACATGAACATGCAAAGTTCTAACAGAAGCTTACTCTTTCAGCACCACCATCATAGCACACTACGTATCGCTGTAGTTTCCAAAACCAAGGAAGTCCAGCGCATTGTTCCCACAAGCAAACAGTGTGAAGATCAATTCTGCCAATCAGAAACCCTTTTGCACTCAACCGCAGCATCGCGCTACTGGGTCAGTGATCATAGGACGGAGAGGTGTGTTAGTAATAGGACGTTGCAAATTTATCTCATCCAATCTCGACTACACACAAGTGCTTCAATCGTCTCGATGCTCAGTGTGCTCTGATGCTTTGGAATTACTGGCCCGCTGCTACTGAATGCTGCTTCAGATTGAACAGCAGATGCCGGCATCGCTAAGACATCCCGGGCAATAGCAGCAAGTGTGGGGTACTTCGTGGCGTGTTCCATCCACCATTTAAGAATGTCGAAATCGTCTTTTCTTGGGACTAGAACCTCCCCAAGGTAGTCCTCAAGTTCTGAAGACATCTGGCAATTGAGATGCTCATCCCAATCTTCCAAAGGATCATTATCAGCTGTATCCAAAGCTGCACTCCTTAAAAGACGGACGCCACTCAGCTGCTCTGTAGCATCGTAGTATTCATCGAAGAGTTCCTGGACTGTATCATGTATTTCAGATAAGTAGCCCAGTGAGTCTGTGCTGTAAGCCCGTTGCAGACGAAATTGAATGAAGCTCATCTTGAATCTTGGATCTAACACGACAGGTATTGACAGCCACACGTATGAGTTCTGCCAATACTCATCGAACGCTTCCTGCATCTCCATGACCAGAGTCACAATCTCTGTGTGATCGTTTGATGCTTCTTCTTGCAGAACTGTCCTCACTTTCCATACCTCGCTGAAGTATACATTTGCTGTCGGAGAGCTAGGGCTAGAAATTACTTCGATGACACGATAAAATGTCCTCAAAATCTTGCAAATAGACCAAGTAGCTGTCATATCTTCTGGAGACAGCACTTCTGCAGCAGGAAACAACTTGTTGAATTGCAACACAACTTCAAGCCTAAAATATAACTTGTGCCACCACTTGGCATCTTCTTGCGGACATTTCAAACTCATCTGTGAAATAACTTCCAGAAGCTGCTGTTGCATCGATGATGAAGATGCACATGCCCCAAAAAAGTCCTTTACTATGTCACCAACAAGGAAAAGTATATATGATCGTCCATCAGAAACAACACTGTTTAGCATATCATCCACACAAGCAATGTTGTACAGCTTGCCTCTGATGGGAAGGCACCTCTTGTTTATGAGCATCTCCTTGAGCTTCAAGGTATTTGCATCATTCTTGATTTCACCAACTGAAGTCAGGCTCAAAATCTTCTGGTCAAGATTCCAGTCTCTGATTGCATCCCATATGACATTGTATGATCCACTTTCCGACTCTGGAACACAAGCCTCCTTGCAGTGTATTATCCTTTCCAAATTAGTAGGTGAGCACCAATACATGCCGAATTTGATTACTAATCTGTGAATTTTCCAGTCTTCAGTAATAAAATGTGCTGTCAAACAGAGGTAATTTACTGCTGGCTCAGGTCCATCATGAGTCCAGATGCTTGCTGATAGCGAGATACGCTGGGAGGTAAGTGCAATTTCATCCTTGACGTTTATCTTCTTCTTCTGAAACAGAGCAAGTAAATGTTCTTCCATATCACTAAGAGAGACTTTGTTAGTCATGGGACTGATGTTCTTTAAAATTCTTCTCATATCTTCATTCTCCACAATTGACAAAGGATAACCATGCAAAGTTATCAATCTGGCGATATCTTGATAAGGTGAATCTTGACCAAACTTGCTGGTGCTTATGGCAGTTGCATTAGTCATAGACGAGGTCTTCTGTTTCTTCAGCCCTGCACCATCTGGTGCTGGTAGGGATAGATGATCTGCCACCACTTGAATTGGCCGATAGGTGATGCCACTGGAGCTGCTAGCCCTGCGGAGCTTGCTAGAGCATTTTGAACCATCTGGTGCTGGTAGGGATAGATGATCTGACACCATTTGAATGGGCCGATAGGTGATGCCACTGGAGCTGCTAGCCCTGCGTAGCTTGCTAGAGCATTTTGTACCATCTGGTGCTGGTAGGGATAGATGATCTGACACCACTTGAATGGGCCGATAGGTGATGCCACTGGAGCTGCTAGCCCTGCGGAGCTTGCTAGAGCATTTTGTGATTTGAGCTTTCCTGGCAGGTGAAGACTCGTCTCGCACCCTGGACTTCAATTTAGGTAGACTAGAACGGTTACCCTTCTGATGACTGTGGTCATGCCCATGTCGTTTTGAACATGCTAGAGCATGTCGATTCAGATGGCCTCCATGTTTGCTGAGGCGCTTGTGGCAATGGATGCAATCTGCACCCTGCAGTTCCCCCTCAACGAAGATGGGTGTGAAACCCTCCCATATTTTGGACCTCCATTTTAAGGGACTTACTGAGCTTATGTCGTCGGTCGTCACTGCAAAAATTTCATCAACAAAAACATGTGATGAAACTGGATTAATTTGATTCACCAAAACCGTGAATGCAATACGAATAGTTACTTTGTGCCAGAGTTCAATTATCTTAATAAAGGAATATCTGTGTATCCAGATCGTAAACTACACACTGCTAACAAACAAACCACTACTGCTAAAGTCGACTGGACACCATGAGCCAGGTAATGCATGGAACCTGAATAAGAACGACATACCATTTGGGAACTACGAACTCACTACTACAGTATTAAAGTGCCATCTAAACACTGAGCCAAGTAGAAGGTAATGCATGGAACCTGAATAGGCAAAAATGAACATACCAATTGGGAGGCAGGAATCCTGTGGCGACATCCACTCCGTCACTTCGGCCGACGTCGCTTCCGGTTTGGCTGGGCAGGTTTTCAGATGCCGGCGCAGAAAGCTATCCCCATTGTAGCCGAGGCGGTTGTGGCAGTGGAGGCAGTCTGCAAACTGAACCTTCCCATTCAGATAGATCGGCTGGAACTCCTCCCAAATTGGCTGCAACTCCTCCGGCGCCACCTTGGACTGATTATTGTGCCTTTTTATGGGCGAGATGTGAGCACCATCAAATTTAACCATCGCCTTCATGCTTCCATCCTTCTCGTGCCTACCAGGATTCCCCATAGCTTCACAGCAACTCAGTCAAGTATGAAAAAAAAAACATATCAGTCCAAGAAGATAGCTTCACATAATATCAGAAGTATGGTAAGAAGAAATCCATATAGTTCCAAGAAAAAACCCTACATCGATCTGAGTACATAACATCCTCCATAATTTAAGACCATAGGGACACACACATACATATGCTTCTTGCCCGGCCGTCCGCCAAAATAAAAAACACATACTTGTGGATTCAGCCTCCCGGCCTAAACCCTAGATTACCGAGCGCGAGCACCCAACACTACCACAATCCGAAGCATCCTGCTAAGGGGGGACTTCTTCCAAGCACGAAATGTCACAAAACTGTACCAAAAATGGCACCTTTGCTTCGTATGTAATGTAGCACAGCACAGCGCGCGGGGGTTTCTCGAGCAGCGCGAGGGGAAACAGAGCAAGGGGAAAGCAGAGCAGAGCGACGGCGGGCTAACCTGAACCGCCGGGAAGCGATCGCCGACGCATGGTGTGTGGTCCCGCCGGAAAACCGCCGCTCCTCGGCGGGCTCGCCGGGCGCTTCCCCCCAATCTTTCCCTCCCTCCTGTGGCGAGAATGGGCTTCCGCTTCCTGGAGGAGGAACCACCTACCCCTAAGACGAGATGCGTGCACTGGGCTGGGCTTCTTGGTGGGTCGGCCCTGCTAAAACCCAGATAATCTATTGGTGGTTCGGCCTGGATTCAATGCTGGATGGGCTTATATTGGATCAATCTCGTTCTGTCTTCTTTTGATTTCAGCTCTTATTCTGTCCTTCCAAGAAAAAAAAAACTCTTATTCTGGGCTTCCACTCACAGGTCCTTCTACATCACTATCTACCATTATTATTTCTAAAACCACGTCAATGAGTTGATTGATGCACATAATGCGACATGGAATAAAGAAGCCCTTGATGCAAATTTTGTAGCGGCTGATACAATGGCAATATTAACCATCCCCAACTGTACTAGGCAGTTGGAGGACCATTGGGCTTGGAATTTTGAGAGGAACAACTTATTCTCAGTAAGATCTGCATACCGCATGTTGGCTGACACAAAATGGAGAAGGGAGGAATGCTTAGAAGGAAGATCAGGTTCCTCTGATTTTGAATCGGAAGCCAAATCATGGACAACTCTATGATCTGTCAAAGTTCCCGGGAAAATACGTCATTTCATGTGGAGACTGTCGAAGCTTTCGATTCCGACGAAGGATATAAGGCACGCTAGAAAAATGTCAGATAATGATAAATGCCAGCTGTGCGGAATGAGGGACTCATGGCGTCATTCACTTTTCGAATGCTCAGTCGCTAGGTGTGTATGGGCTCTAGTGGATGAAGATATACTTGATTATATACAAGCGTCGCCGGAGCCGAGTGCCAAGGTGTGGTTATTTTCAGCTATAGAACATCTACCGCAGGGTAGTCTGGTGACGATGGTAGTGACCATGTGGGCGATATGGCTGGCTCGTCGAAAGCCAATCCATGAGGGAGAATTGCAAAGCCCACACGCGACACACTCTTTCGTCAAAAGTTTCATCGCAGAACTTGTAACTGTTCAGACTAGGGCGGGGGCAACAGCGCTTGATTCAGCTTCAGTCGGGCGACCCATTGTCAGGCAAGGGTGGGTTGCACCCGAAACTGTAGTTGAAAAAATCCAAGTTGACGGGGGAATTTCAAGAAACGGTAGAAGAGGGGCAGCTGCAACCATTTGTAGGGATCATTCAGGTCTTTTCCTAGCCTCCTCAGCAATGGTCTTCGATGATATAAGTGATCCACCAATGTTGGAAGCTGAAAGTGCAACTAATCCCTGGGTGGTTTTGGTAATTCTTAACAACATATAGTTCATTGAACTAATGCTCTTTCAAGATGATCATTTTAGAAAGTTAATGATTGGCATGGCATGGATTAGAGATGTGGACCCCTCAAAGTGCTAAGGACACATATTGGCAACAAGCTAAAGACTCTACATTTTTCATTTAAGTGATCCAAGATCACATTGAGTCCATAGGAAAGCCAATACTATTAAAAAGGGATGAGGTGTTGCTTAATGGCTTACTTGCTCAAAATGCTTAGTGATATGCTTCAAAACTCTCAACCACTTTCTCATTTCCACATATGTCCTAAACCTAAAAGTCAAATTCAGCACCACCGATTTGATCTATCCAGCGCCACCGAGTTTCATTTGACATAGCCACTACCACAAACCCTAGTCACTTCGGTCTCACCGATAGGGATCTCGGTCTCACCGAGATGGGATTGCAAACTCACTGTTTCCTTTTTGTAACATTTCGGTCAAACCGAGATGAGCGAATCGGTCCCACCGAGTCGCAATGCAAACTCATTGTTTCCCTTTCGTAACACTTCGGTCCCACCAAAGTGAGCGGATTGGTCCCACCGAGTTTGCCTGACCAACTCTCTATGTGCCTATTACTGAAATTGGTCCCACCGAATTTATGTAATCGGCCACACCGAGATTATGTTATGCCCTAACCCTAACATATCGGTCCCACCGAGATGACTATGTCAGTCCCACCGAAAAGCCTAACATTCATATTTTGACCTGAATCGGTCTGACCGAGTTTACCATTCGGTCTCACCGAGTTTGGGAATGTCTGTGTAACGGTTAGATTTTTGTGTGGAGGCTATATATACCCCACCACCCATTCTTCATTCATGGAGAGAGCATCAGAACGTGCCTACACTTCCAGCATTCATTTTTCGAGAGAGAACCACCTACTCATGTGTTGAGACCAAGATATTCCAATCCAACCACAAGAATCTTGATCTCTAGCCTTCCCCAAGTTGCTTTCCACTCAAATCATCTTCCCACCATAGCCAAATCTGTGAGAGAGAGTTGAGTGTTGAGGAGACTACATTTGAAGCACAAGAGCAAGGAGTTCATCATCAACACACCATCTATTACCTTTTGGAGAGTGGTGTCTCCTAGATTGGTTAGGTGTCAATTGGGAGCCTCCGTCAAGATTGTGGGGTTGAACCAAGGTGTTTGTAAGGGCAAGGATATCGCCTACTTCATGACGATCTACCCTAGTGAGGCAAGTCCTTTGTGGGCGATGGCCATGGTGGGATAGACAAGGTTGCTTCTTCGTGGACCCTTCATGGGTGGAGCCCTCCATGGACTCGCGCAACCGTTACCCTTCGTGGGTTGAAGTCTCCATCAACGTGGATGTACGATAGCACCGCCTATTGGTACCATGCCAAAAATCTCCGTGTTAACATTGCATTTGCTCCCTCCAAACTCCTCCCATTTACTTTCTTGCAAGTTGCATGTTTTACTTTCCGATGCTCATATACTCTTTGCATGCTTGTCTGAATGGTGTTAAGATTGCTTGACTTGTGCTAAGTTGCTAGAATCTTCCAAGAACTAAAATTGGGAAAAGGTTAAGTTTTTTATTTGGTCAAGTAGTCTAATCACCCCCCCTCTAGACATACTTTCGATCCTACAAGTGGTATCAGAGCTTTGGTCTCCATTTGCCTTGATTTCCATAGCTTTGGTAATCATAGCCTTGGTTTCACAACCTAGGAGAGTATGGAGTCTAGAGAGGGAAATTACCACCGTAGAGGTCCTTACTTTGATGGTACTAATTTTGCTAGTTGGAAACATAAAATGAAAATGCATATTTTTGGACATAACCCCGCTGTTTGGGCTATTGTGTGTATTGTTTTACAAGGTGAATTTTTTAATGGGAGAGAACCAAATCATGAAGCTACCGCGGAAGAATTGAAAATGTTGTAATACAATGCTCAACCTTGCGATATCCTCTTCAATAGATTGTGCCCCGAAGAATTCAACAAAATCAGCCGTCTTGAGAATGCAAAGGAAATACTTTGATTGATATGCACGAAGGTACCGACTCCGTCAAGGAATCCAAGTTGGATGTGCTTCAAAGTCAACTTGACAAGTTCAAAATGAAGGATGGTGAAGGTGTCGCTGAAATGTACTCTAGGCTTGCTCTCATCACGAATGAGATTGCCAGCTTAGGAAGTGAAGAGATGACCGACAAGTTCATCATCAAAAAGATCTTGTGAGCCTTGGATGGAAAATATGATACCGTGTGCACTTTGATCCAAATGATGCCAAACTACAAAGATCTCAAGCCTACCGAAGTCATCGGAAGAATTATTGCTCATGAGATGTCACTCAAGGATAAAGAAGAGTTTCACAACAAGTCTAGTGGTGCTTACAAAGCCTCATGTTATGCTCCTACATCATCAAATGAGAAACAAGCCTTGAATGAAGAATTGAGCTTAATGCTGAAGAACTTTCAACAAATTCTACAAGAGTAGAAGCAAGGAAAGAAGCTCCAAGTCAAGGTCCTACAATGACAAAAGATCTTCTAGTCATGAGCGAAATTGTTACAATTGTGGAAGACTTGGACACTACTCAAATGAGTGTATGGCTCCCTACAAAAGAAGAGAAGACTCACCTAAGAGGAGAAGCAAAAGGGAAGAATCACCTCCAAGAGAGAGAAGGAGTAGAGATGATTGCTATGAACGAAGAACCTCTCAAAGAAGCAAGGATTCAGAAAGGAAGGACAAGTCATCAAGGAGCTACACAAAACGAAGACATGAAGCTCATGTTGGTGAATGGGTATCCGGCTCTGACTCCGACCACCACTCCGAGAGAAGTTATTACTCTGACTCTGAATATACTCAAGATGAAGGTGCTGCCGGTCTAGCACTTGTGTCAACCAACTCCTATGACATATTGATTCACCAAATGAAGGGATTGGGAGATGCTTCATGGCTAAAGGCCCCAAGGTAACACACCCCGAGTATGTTGATTTCAATAGTGATGAAGATGACTTGCTAGGTGATGATGATTTACTTATTGACAACTCTAGTGATGAATGAATACTATGATGAAAATGCTATTAATCATACTAAACAAGATGAAAGGAATGACAATGATAAGAAGGAAATTGAGCGTCTAACTAAAGAACTAAACACTCTTAAGTTGGCTCAGGAAACTACTTTAGAAGATCATCGAGAACTTTTTAAAACTCATGAGAAGTTACGCTTCGAGAAGCTCAATGTTGAGCAAGAACATGGGTTCTTAAAAGCCATCAATGATGATCTTTGGAAGAAAAGTTCTTCTTACATTGCCAAGCATTTGCTCTTGTCTACTTACATGCCTCAAGTAAAATCCAGCAACAAGAACAAGAAAGATTCTTCTTCTAGTAGTAACAATAATCATGCTAAATCTAATATTGTTGCTTCTAGTAGTTCTCTTGATTCCACTAATGACTCTCTTAGCCAAATTAACTTGAGCAAGAAAATGGCTTACTGAAGGGAATTATAGAGAAAGGTGTTTACAAGAGCCTTGCCGGAAGTAAGCAATTTGAGGAAATTGTACGCAAGCAAGGAAGGCACCAGAAGAATCAAGGTGTTGGTTGTGAACGAAAGTTCAATGCCAATGGGGTTGAGTGGGAAGAAGATCAATACCCCAAGACGAAGTTTGTTCCTCAACAAGAGA